AACATGTTTTTAATGTTAGCTATAATTCAGAATTGGTGACTGAAATGAGCATGACACATACGAACATCATGAGAGAAAGACTCGATAGTTTAGTTAGTTTCTATGTTTGTTGTTGGCGCTGAGAAACGCCCGCTGAAAGGCCAAAGCAATGGTGTTGACTCGACCAGCGTTAACCCCGCCCCCTGACTGTGATTGGTGAGGCTGACTGATAAAATTAATTCATGAATTGTCCCTCCTGACCCTCCATAGACACCCTCTCTACTTTTAGAAATAAAGCATAGAGTTAGGACTGGATCCATTTACACTCCAATGGGTGTCTGCTTCCCATGATGTACCAAGTGTTTCTTCTTCAATTACTGTGTGTTTATACAACACTCTGCATTAGTTACTCATTAGTTATTATTCTCTGGCGCTCTTCCTTTCCCTTCACCCTCAACTAGTGGTAGCAGATGGTCTGCTGGAGGTTTCTTCCTGTTAAAAGGGAGTTGTTCCTTCCTATTTTCACCATGTGCTTGTTCATAGGGGGTCATCTGTCTGTTGGGTTTTTTGTATTATTGTGACGTCTTTATAATCAATATTAAAGAGCCAACTGTTGTTGTGCTTTGGCGCTATACAAATAACACTAAATTAAATCAAGTAGGACCTTCATCATGGATCCATAAAGTTTAGTCCATATTATTCAGTCCCAGTTGCTGCCATCTTAAAATATGCATTTCAAAGGTTAATATCACCCTTCTAGATAAAAATCAGAGACTGGTTGAAAAAGTTTAAAAGCAGACTAAAACATAAACTGAACACCTCTGTGGTCATCTGTGGATGTGATTAGTTAACAGGAGCATGTTTTTGTCAAATTTCCATTTCAGTTGTGAATAATTAAGAAGAAAACTGAACGATGGAAATAAAACACAGCTTCGGCAACAGTTGTATTTGTGGACAGAAAGCCGTTTTATACAAGTGTGGATTATAAGACAGAGCCTCTTTCATGTGGTGTAAACACTGAGGCGGGTTCGACTAATAAGTGGAAACAGCAGGTAACATCACTATGAAAGTCACTTTTGGCAATCTTGAAGGTGGAGGGATTTTTTTTCCTTTTTCTTTTAATACCGCTTCCCAACAAACAAACTTTAACACAGCAAATCCATGACAGAGGAATAAAAAATAAAGAAAAGGACAGACAAGTTATACAGGTTTGTAGTCCAGCTTAGACTCAAGCTTCTTTGAGTCCGCCACCTTCCTGACGGCCTTCATAAAGTCCTCCTGAGTTACGTACTCACGATCTGAGCGGATGGCAAATAACCCTGAAAACATACACAGAGCCATGTGAGAGAAGAGCTTCTCAGAACTCATCATAGATCTGATAAGGAATGATCATCTGACCTGCTTCTGTGCACACGTTTCTCAGGTCAGCTCCATTGAAACCATCTGACAGCTTCACAATGGCTTCAAAATCTGAAAGTAATCATACAGTTAGATCCGTGAAAACGGAGGTCATGTGTCGATTATTCTGCAACAAATACATTAACAAAAGCCTTCAAAGAACAGAGATATCAGTAGTCATGAGTAGGCAGCAAAGAGGAAAGCAACCTGTTGTTCATCTGAGGGATTTTTGTCAAGTTAACTTCCAGGCAGAGCACCTTAAATGAGCAAACTACCAAAGTAACACAGAGTCCGTTTGACAATTGGATAAGTGCAGCAGGACTGAGGTGATGCTCGTCTACTCACCTATTTCTCCGTGCTTGGTGATAGGACTGGAGTGAATCTTAAGGATGTCAAGACGAGCCTGCTCATTGGGCAGTTCAATGTCTGAGGAAGAGACAAAGGAAAGTGGTTTTCTTGCGTGGGCTCACATAGAGCTGACAGAGAAGCTGAACAGGAGAAGTTCTTACGAATTTTGCGGTCCAGTCTGCCAGGCCGCAGCAGGGCAGGGTCGAGAGTGTCAGGTCTGTTGGTGGCCATGATCATCTTGACTCTGTGCAATGTGTCGAAGCCGTCCATCTGATTCAACAGCTGAAAACACACAGACATGTCATGTATTCTGTGTGATTAAGCACCTGTCCACTGCAACGGTAACCATGTTACTGGTGACTACAAGAGTCAAGTTAAAAACAACAAATGTTTGGAAAGGTCTGCTTCAAATTAACAACCGACATACTGACGTGATGTCTTATTGCCTAAACAGACCCAGTACAGACGACTGAAAAGCGTGTTGTGCTGTTAATGTCTTTGTGTTAACATCTGTTATAATAACAACAGATGGGTGGGGTGGGTTGGGTGGCTGCGTCAGGAAAGGCATCTAGGGTGAGTTGATGTGCTGCTTGTGAGCAGCCAAAAGCATTTTTAATCTCACAGACTCGGAGTATCGGGACGCTTTTATTGCTCATGTTAGGATCACAGACGTTCTCTCTTACAACACTGTAACCACACAATTTTACTTTCAGGTAAACTTGTCTCCTGTATAGAAAAATGGGAATGTGTGGTTTGTGGATAGCATAGTGAGTACCAGCCCAGAAATTTGGAGTACTTCTGATTCATGTCACACATGGCAGAACAAAAGTGGAGATGCTGTAGCTCAGGGGGGAAAACAGGCGAGACACTAGCCCCAGTATATGGAATATAGAAAGTACTTAAACATAGAAAGTGCTTGTACGTATGGGCGAATGAGGCACGCTGCATAAGAACAAGTCCATTTTAAAAGCTTTGCATCAATTTGATGGAGATTTTGTGTGTGAGCTTATTTCTCGTGCAGGGTAAAAACGTGCATCCTTACTCACTAAGGGTCAATTATACTTTCATTTGTACTTTGCTTTCAAATTCATTTGGTTTAGTATGTTTCTTACTGTAGATAGTCACTATGTGACTGCAGAGTTACAATAAACTGATAACTGGCAGTTATTATTGGCAGGGACTGATACAGCTAAGGACACCCTCCAAGTACAATATAATTCTGTAGAATGGAAAATGAAGTCCAATAAAATGTTTTTTAGTTTTTATAAAGGCACCTAAGCTGGACACTTGGGGTATTGGGTGGATTGAGCACCTTCTGGCTGCAACATGAAAGCATGATGCAAAACAGGCGATCACACTGTTCCATATTTGCTGTTTATATTCAAACAACAAAGAGTGCTGCTGAGTGGTGTTTTGGTGCTTCTGTTACCTCCATCAAAGTCCTCTGAATCTCTCTGTCAGCTGAGGTTCCCTCTGAGAAACGTCGGCCACCTACAGGGAATAACACAAGTATCTCAAGCACCCTTCTAACAATTTCCCTGTAAATAAATACTCAGTACACAACTCTTTTTTGAATGAACTTTGTGCTTGCTGTGTCAGTATTGAAGCTCACACCTGTGACATGGCTTTACAAAGTACTTCAATTTAATTCAAACTGGAGACAAGCAAGCAAATAAAAAGACAGCTCCTGTTTTCAGTACGTCTTAACTTTAAGTATGATCTGAATTTTGGAAATACGGCTTTACTACTTTAACAAAAGAATTTCCCAAATATGGCATAAAGCATTTCCTATCCTTCTCTGTAGAGCTGACACTGACTTACCAATGGCATCAATCTCATCCATGAAGATGATGCATGGCTGGTGGTCCCTGGCATAGTTGAACATTTCTCTGATCAGCCTGGCACTCTCACCAATGTACTTGTCCACAATGGAGCTGGACACCACCTACAGCAGCCACACAGACACACAATAAGCTGAGTGACTGTGTCCAAGTGTGGCAGTACACTTTGATGGAGCTGCTGGGACTCACCTTCAGGAAATTGCAGTCCAGTTGACTGGCCACAGCTCTAGCAAGAAGAGTTTTTCCAGTGCCTGTTTCACAACAAATCATCACTGACCATTAGAAGTACTGGTGGTAGGATTTCAAAGATACTACATCGTGTTCTACTCGATTTATCACATTCACAGACTTGGGTGTCCATGCCACCCGCCTGTCTTCCTGACAACAACACCCCCACCAGGCTTTTACGGCTGATTACATTATGCTCCCAACAAAGAATCAGTGGGGGAAAAAATTGTTGCACCCATAAAACAAACATATCATGGATGTATGATGAAGCCTATTGGCGTATTCAAACCATGCGTTAAGTGAAAATTGGTGTGATTAAATCAGTTCAAGAAGGTGTATTGAAACCAAGACAAGGCTGACATTTTCAGCTTAGGCAACAATTTGCTCCACACTGCATCGAGGTGTGATTAGAGCGTGTAGCCTTTAATGTGTACAGCACTTTGGCTTGCACTGACAACCCAAGGCTAACTAGAGCTGTAGGTTCAAAGTCACTTTTCACATATGAAAAACAATGAAGAACTCTAATTGTGATTAAAATCAGGTGCACTTGAAACACTACAGTGACAAATGAGTAAAATTCAGCTTATTCAGCCTCACTTTAACACAAAGACAAGAAGAAACAGAAGACTCTTTGGACTAAAGTGAGTGAAATCACAGGATTTCTAGGCAAGCTGTGAAAACATTGTATTCTAACTTGATCCTAGCTGTTAGATGTACTCTTCCTCATGCCATTGGGCATTAGGAAGAAATATTCATAGGTTTATGAATGTTTTCAAGAGAATAAAGCATTGTATTGTAGGGTCTACCTTACAACATAAAGCACCTTGAGGCAATTATTGCTGTGATTTGGCGCTGTAATGTGAAAACACCAGGAAATGACAGTTACCTGGGGGCCCATACAGCAGACAGCCTTTAGGAGGAATGATGCCAACTCTCTGGAAAAGCTCTGGGTTGGTCAGTGGGAGCTCAATAACCTGCAGGAAAACAGCAGCAGCCCCATTATTGTAGACTCATTTAAATATATAATGTAAAACAATGACTGGTGAAGGTGAAATCATACAAACAGAACGTAATATAACACTGGAGCCAGTCACACTGAGATCAATAATGCAGAGCACACGAGAGTTGAGGAGGACTTCATTTTTGTTGTACCTCTCTCAGCTCACGGATCTGTTCAGACAAGCCTCCGATCTCAGAATAGGAGACGCTGCCAGGGTCCTCATGGGACATGTTGTACACCAGAGGGTCCACCTCCCTGGGCAGGTACCTGTGAAAAAACAGGCCACACATACACTGGCATCATCACATAAGCCAAGTTCAGGAAGCTTCCTTTTTATTAAGTTTGCAGACGACACCACCCCGATGGGCTTCAGCACAAATAGAGATGGGTATCGTTTAGGTTTTATCCGATACCGGTGCCAACCCAGTACTTTTGAAACGGTGCCGATGCTTAACACAAACTTTGTCCAAAAACCTCTCATGTTTAGCTGTTTTTTTGTAAAAAGATAACAATGTTAACTTTTCCTGCAGGTATAGGGCATATATGGTATCACTCTTGGCTGGAAGCAGTGCTTAAACAATGGAAAAAACACAAACTTTGTCCAAAAACCTCTCGTGTTTAGCTGTTTTCCACTTTTTCTTTGGTCATTTTAGCCATTTTAGCCTTTTTGGCCAGGGTGAAGGGAGTATCTGCCATCAAACAAGAAGACAGCCGCATGTAACTACAACGCTGTTTGCTAGTTCACCTTACGTGCATTAATTTAATAACGTGGTTAACCTACTAAACGTAAATTACACACGAACAACATTAAGCTACTCGCCCAGAGAAGAACGGCTGCTGCTGCTATCATCATCCGTCATCATTTCTGCTACACTGGCAGGGCTAGGGGCCAGGACTCTCCTCTTTTGGTTCTTGGGGGATGTTGCTGACTCCGGGTCCGATAACAGACACCACACCCACAGTAGATGTGCTCGGTGTGAGGTCTCGCAGCAAGCTATCAAATACGGTGCGTTTCTCGGCTTTTAAAAAATCCCTATGCGTCGCCAGGTGTTTCATGGGATTTGAGGTGTTACCTCCTTTGCACAGCATCACCTTAAAGCACTTGTTGCAGGCTGCTGAGTTTGCATCTTTTGCTGTGAAGTACAGCAAGACTTTTGACCACTTTGCCTTGGGCATTTTTAATCCGTAGCTCTGCTCTAAAAGAATGTACGTACCTCAGCCCGCCTACTGTCCTTGGAAAGGTAAAATGATCGGCTAGAATCCCAAAAAATTCTTTCCATCGCAGGAAAAATGAAAGCACCGATATAATGGCACCGGATACCAGTGCCCATCCCTAATCACAAAGGGGAATGAGGCTGCTGACAGAGTGGTGTGAAGCCAACAACCTGCTTCTAAACACCTCAAAAACCAGGAAGGTCCTCGTTGCCTTCCGTAAGACTGCAGGGGATTATACCCTCTATGGAGACTGGGTAGAGACGATTTCTGGGAGTTGCAATCATAAATTATCTCTCACGGTTGGAGAGTACACGGGCAATGGCAGTGAAGGCGATGCAGGGTCTGCACTTTGTGCCAATCCTCAGTAAAAAGAGACTGAATCAGAAGCTGCTTGTGTCCTTACTTACTGCATCTCAGTGTGGTACAGTGGAAACAGCAGAGCGTCATAAACACAGCACAGAGGATCGTCAGATGCTCTCTGGCCCTTCCTGGAGGAGATCGCCAATTCCAGATGCAGAAGAGCCAAAAACATCCTGACTCCTCCCACCCAGCTCATCATCTGTTCAGCTTAATGCCTTCAGTCAAGCCCTACAGGTCGATGAAAGCCCCCACAACTAGTATGAAAATTATTTAATTTATACTGATATTTAAAGGGAGCTGCAACTGTGATTTCATTATGTCATATAATGACAATAAAGCAAACCCATTTGGAGTTTCCCCACTGCAGCAGACTTATTAATTCAGAGATGTAAAAGTAAACAAACCTGTGTGCTGTGATAAATCTATTGTTTATTAATCAGTGCTGAGGGCCATACTGCAAAGCAGGAGAGCACTTTGTTGAACTTTCAGTCAGAGCTTTCCTGTGTCATCAAAGCAGCTCTCTTTTTTCCTGGCTGAATTACTATGGTAGCTTATTTTGAATAACAACCTGATAAAAGATGCTGTGTTCCTAATTTGGGTTTTTAGGAAGCTCCACATTTCCTGGGATCTGCTCGAGCCACTCGCCAGGTTTGGGGGTCGCTAGCTTGAGTGCTCCGATTACCACGTGCTCTAGGACCACTGTTGCCTTCACCCTCCACATCTTCTTGAGCACCTCTCTCAGCCCTTATTACTTCTTGAGCTTGTTGTGTTCCTTCTTCCTGGTGTTGTTATCACTATGGCCTCCTTCCTCTGCTTGTCCACTACTATGGTAATAGTAATACTGTTGGTTAGCCACCACCAGCCATCACCATCCTCTAGGTTGTATTCCGTTTTGACCTCTGGACTTCCAGGTCACACTTGGCACAGATGTTTCTGTATACTATTCCAGCCACTTGGTTATGGTGTTCCATGTATGCCCTGCCTGCTAGCATCTTGCACCCTGCTGTTATGTGCTGGATCTCACTGCTTCTTTACACAGCCTGCACCTGGGGTCTTACCTGGTGTGTTAGACCCCAGCCTCTATAAACCTTTTTCTTAGTGCTGTGAGACACGATTCTGGTGAACCAATTCAAAATAATAATCATATCCACCTTACCTCATGATAGTAAGCGTAGTCATGTCCAGAGCCACTCTGGTCCCCGGCTTCAGCTGGGATTTGTCCAACTGGAAGAGTTTCCATTTTATACAGTCAAGTCAGCATTTGTTGAGAAAGTTTGATTAGTGAAAATTAAACAATAAATCATTTTTAATATGTCACAATGTAAACATTGTGAAGTGTGTTTCTTCTTTAGCTATATTAACCCAATATACAAGAATAAAGTTAGACTGCCACTGCTGATTCAAAAAATTACATAACTCAGTGCTGAATAATGGAGTACTTCCAGCTGATTTACAACATTGTACACAAAGAAACAGACTGGTCATTGGTACAGAGTCTTTTGTAAACCTATTTTTATTTCCTCATCATTGATAAATGATGAAAATCAAATGACTTAGCACTCAAAGCTCTCAGATGTGACTACAGAGGGCTTCCAAACCCTAAAGAAAATTCTGCATTACAAGACAGCACAAACACTAGAATGTGATCAACCCTTACCTGCCTGCGACATCCAACCACATATCGGGGTCCATTGGTAGCCTTTACAATGACTGTAATTTAGGAGCAAAACACAGATGACTTCAGTCAAAAAACAAACGAACCACACACCTGAGTTTAACACTGTAACACATGTCACAGATTCACATTTGTTATTTCCATTGATTACCAGGCTTCAACATAGGTGTTGCATAATGAGCCTGACAGTAGAAGACTAAAGAGAAGTATAAAATCAAATCAGCCTTTTCTACCTCTGCTATAATATATGGGAATTTAAGACTTACATTTCTCCTCAGTGAGTTGTTTGAGCACTTCTCCAACAATCTGCAGGGAAGACAAATAGTTAGCTAATAAAAAAAAATACATCAGGTCCCTTCTGTTTGTGTTGAAATTAGCTTCATGTACTATAGCCTCACTATTAGTTATTTAACTGGGACACAAAGGGGAAAAGGAGAAAAGAAAAATCACTCTTTTGATATTGTCTGCTGTTAGTTTCTCACCTGTAGCACAAAGCAGCTTAGTCAGCTGAAAGTGTTTAGCACTCTAGCGCATTGGTGGAAACTGCTTGTTTCTGTCTGTTGACTTACAACAGCCAGAAATATCGCACATCTAATTACTGTCACTGGCTTCAGATTTCTGTCATCAGATAACAAGTGAACAGTCTTCTCTTTGCATTGCTTGAGTGTGAATGCACTGATGTACAACGTTAACCTTCAGTCTTTAGTTGAAGCCAAATGATTAATTTCCACACGGTATATTTACCTGACCGACGCTTTGGAGAGCCTTGAGATCATTCTCCGATTTCTCGTACTGTTTGGTCTGTTCTCGCAGCTGCTCTCTCACTGGAAAACAACGGACAGTCAACATGTTTCATACACACACACTAAGAGCTAACTGGAACAGTTTGTTATAGCTAATGCTTGCATCAACGTGAAAAGTCAGACGTTAGCTCTACTTATAGCTCTTGATAACATTAACAAATAATGACCTCACATTCTTAGATTAACCGGCCTTAAAATATGAATTATCCAATGAACGGACGAACTGTATCACTGTCGTGTTTATGCTCCTACGCTGGTAGCGAGACCCGGTAGCCTCCATACATTTCCACCAAGAAGCTAACTGCATGACAAAGCACTAGCTAGCTGGTATGCTAGTCAATGCTGCCTGTCCATCTACAAGTAACCAGTCAACTAAACAACACGAATTTCTAGCACGAATGCAAATATCAGTGTTAAATGTTCCTTTACATTCTTTTAGTCGCCCATCAACTTCTTTGTGTTCCAGCAATTTCTTCCTGTAGTCCTGCAGCGCTTTTTCTCTAGTGTCCGCCATGACGCCCCGCTGAATGATGGGAAAATGCGGTGTCACTCCACTCTTGGTTCGTTCACTTACCTCAGTCGGATGCCGAAATTTCGCGCTCCGTGATGTTGCTGTTCGCTGCTGCCTGTCATTTTGACATGCAACACGTGTAATGTAATAACTGATATAACGCTAATGGAAATTAATAAATAAACAAGAGGACCCTATAGAAAATTTACAGAGCTCATCTTAGAAAAGATGAATGTGTTTGGCACAACATTACACTGAGATTATAATTCTGATTGCCAAAAAAGGTCAACATTTATATTATATACATTATATACATTTAATATGGCCACCTTCAACACAACCTGAACTGACTAAGGCAAGGTTTCTTGTAATTTCCTTAAGCATCGTTTTCCAGGGTTCCTGATGAATGATCCCACACTGTTTCAGTAATACTGATGGCCAATCCATGCCTGATAGTCTTCCATTTCGTGTTTTTCTATCTATGCATTTACTGCATTGCCAGTGTCTTTAGCATCGTTGTTATTCCAAAAATTAAAACCAATCAAATGCTTTCCAGATTGTATTTCATGGTCTCCAGTCTTCCATACAAACTGATAATATTTAAAATTTTCACTCCAGTTGTTATGTAATTTTGTATATGTTGGCCTTTTCTCCCCATTTCCCTTTCTAAATAATTTTTTGCCTTACAGCCCCTTCCACTGAGACCATTTTTCAATAGGATTCAGCAAACAGTAGATGAATCAACTAGAGGGACTAAATCAAATCTTTGCTGGAATTTTTCCCCATTTCTTAGGGATATGACTTTCAGATACTGTTCATCTGCTCTGGATAGTCTTTTAGGCCTGAGGCTCTTGTGTCCTTTACTTGTCCAGTTTTCCTAAAATTTTAAGAACATAATGCAAACTATGCTGAGATAGGTTTTCAGCCAATAGCTCTTTAGGATTCATAGTGTTGGTGCAAAAATACTATATTTGTCAGACTTTGTTACCGTTGATATGTAGTCCATTATATTATCCTCAGTCATTCAGACTAGCATAGTTTCCATAATCTTATGATTTACAGTTTAATCCAGGGCAGGTATAACAGGTTTTAAACTGCAGATCTGTTCAGAATTTAAGTCTTTGAATGATCCAGAAACAGAAAGAGTCAGATCAGGAGAACCCAGCAGCAGATTCGGCTCTGAGGGAGTACATTAGTTAGGTCTAATACCCTCCTCAGCTTCTTTCCAAACAGCGGAAAGAAGCTGTGGGGGGTAGGAACAGATCTAATGCCCAGTAATTCATTTGGCTCTTTTAGTGTGCAAAACATGAACATGAATGTGGTAACGGGCACAAAGGCATTTTTGGAATGACTGGCTGGTTCATCAGCTGATGTTCCGGGCAGGATACGCACCACTGGTGTACATCTGCCTGGATGCCAAGCCAAAAGAATTGTGCCATTACTCGCTCCAGAGTTTTGTCATACCTCATATGCCCTGCCATGCGGTTACAATGAGCCTCCTAGAAAATAATTTCCCTTGAGCTTTTTAGCACCAACAACTGAGTGTGTTCCTCTTTGGTGCAAGTGTCACAACTCACTTGATACAGTCTGCCTCTAATCAACACAAAATCCATCTGTCACCCAGTACAGGGTGCACCATTTAACCATCAAAAGCTGACCAAGTGTAGTGTAGACTGAAGGGTAGAATGTCATCACGTGACTGCTCGTGGAGTTAATTATTGGAGCCAGTCCTGATTCTCCTCCTCCACAGAGTCAGTGTTAGACGACCTCATGTCACTGCTGAGCGCAGTGCAGACACTACATGCCCATATCAGTCATGAATGCATCTCCACACACTGGTTATTAAACCCCGGGCAACCTATTCCCAGATTTAAGGGATGCGTTAGGCAGAAACTAACCACTGACTTGACTCTATGTGTTTTGCCCTTATATTTTATTTGTAGGGGCATTATGGGATATTTGTGTATCCCCACATGCACACACCTAACATCCACTAGGGTCCAACCAGGGTTTGGTGGAACAGGGAGCCTGTGCAGGAAAACTAAACACACTAAACTCAGGACAAGGTACGATCAAAATAAAACGAGATACACACCGAGAGTCAGACTGAATATAGGGAACAGAGGGAGCAAGAGGCACGACTAGGAAACAGATGACTAAACACAGAGACAGATTTTAAAACTCATGGTAGACGTGACAGATGACGCAGAGAGGCACAAAAGGGAATAGACTAAATGAATGAAACTCAGAACTAGAAATAAAAATGTTTATACAAATGATTACATTTGGAAGTACAAGGAAACTAACATTTACCAAATGAGAACATGAGAAACATAGAAACACTTGGTTCATAGACCCACTACAAATATATTAATGTTATAGGATGTTATATAATGGAATCAATAGCTCTGTTTTGCTAAGACACGGCACTAGTCCAAGTTTTGAGGTTAACAGCAAGGCTCTAGTAGCTCACCACTTTGTTTCATCATTGTTGCAGAATTGTTGTCTATTCTGATTAAAAACAGTCAAACTGAAGTGTTAAATGTGATGGGCAAAAATAAGTCAACTGGCAGATGATACCAACCTGTTTCAGAAAATAAGGACCAGATCCCTTTAGGCCACTTCTCCAAAGCACAGGGTCTACAGCTGAATAAAAGTGAGATACTAGTTCTATAGTGTCACTGTAGTTGATATGTAATATACAAAAGAAAAAAGATGTGAAATATTTGGGCATTGTAATGTTACTAACATAAAGCAGTAATATATGTGATAATATAGAAAAGTGTTAGTCAATTTCAAACAAGTGGCAGCAGAAGAAATATATGCAAATATGCATGTGCATATTAAATGTGCAAAATGTGCAATAAATGTGCAAATATATATCTTTGGTTTTTAAACATAAAACTTATAGTTGCAGCCAGAGAAGGTACAACAGTGACCCCTTAGATGGCTTTTTAGTTTTAGTCTCCTTCTTTTACACTGGAATATTGGTTCTGTTACTAGTTAGCTAACATAAACTAATGTAAGTCTATTAGTACCAACCAACCCAATGATGTCAGGTTCTGTACAGGCAGAAGATGGCGCTGAACATGTTCTAAAAATTCTAAAAAGTCACTGAAACATGGAAATGACAAGCAAGCCCTCAAATTAGCGGCACTGTTCAATTATTTTAGTTTTTGTTAACGTCACCCCACCTTTTCTGTGATATAGCTAAGGAGTTTTCTTATCCTTCACATATTGTGTCATTTTAGATATTTTAGTAATTGTGTTTATTATTTATTTTCGATTTTTTTATGCTCAACCTTGGGTATAAAGATTTCTCGAGCGATTTAAAAAGTGCAGGGGGCGTGCTCGTGGTGGACTCTAGCCCAAGAAATCACTACTGTGCAGACTGGCTCTGAATAAATAGCAATCACGGTCCATCAGGTTTGTACAGGTACTGAGTGAAACCGAGTGTTTAAAAAATGAGAATTAACCATTGCAGCCACTCTCTATACTTCTGATACGTTTTTTTTGTTTGTTTGCCTTTTGTTTTAATATATATATAATTTTGATGCTTTCCCCTGGTTGGACAACATCATGCCCATACGCAGTTTGAAGCAGGCTTGGTTGGGAAACCCCACTGACACTATACAAGAACATTTTATGTTTAATATGATCTACTTTCTTGTAATGAAAACGCTGAAAGGCGTTTAAAAGGAGGAGGTGCTGAGGAAGCCTCCGTTACTAACGCCGTTAAAACGAGTTTTTCAGCAGCAGACTGAAGGCTGCCGCATTGGCTGCTCTCACCGTTATCGCGCGCCCCGCAGGTAAAGTTCATTAGTTAGCTGAACTGAAAAACTTTCAAATAATCCCCTTTTATGTCGCTTGGAACTTTTTTCGCGATGTCAACAACAAATCCGGAGGGTACATAGGCTGTGACCCAATTCAGGGTCTGCACGCTTGAAGTATTTTAAGTGTGATTACGTCACCGCCACGCGACGACGGCTGTCCCAATTCGAAGTGTACTTCAAATGCATACTCCAAATGCACCGTCGATTTCCCCAAATATCAAGCGTGGGGTTTTTTTCTCAAACCTTTATTTAAACATCAGTACAATACAAAATGGAATTAAACAGTACCACAATAATGGTGTTGTACTTACAAAAGAATTGTATGCATAGATAAACAAATACGAGAACAGTATTCAGAAACAACAATATAAATATGCTGGGGGAAACTAACTGATCAAGCCAAAGAATAAAGTGATTGAAAGATCTTGATTTTTTCACAAACACCAATAGTTTTTATAGCTTTTGGGTTAGTAGAATTCTTAATTGAGTTAAGATACTGTACAAGTTCAAAGGAGAATACATAAAACGAGGGATGGGAACACACGTGAAAAGACCCAGGAAAACCGAGTTAACGATAAAAACGATAACAAAATAACGCTGAAAACCGATAAAAACCCTGAAAACCATACATTTCACACCTGAGCCTCAACTCTCGCGGCCCGGTACCAAACGACTCACGGACCGGTACCGGTCCGAGGCCCGGGGGTTGGGGACCGCTGTACTAGACGATGTATTTGGTGAAAAAACTGAATATGTGAGGGTAGCCAGTAGTAGCGCAGTGTGGGTACAAAGTTCTCTCTGTAAGTACAGTGAAAGACATTAAAGAATCATATAGAAATATCACTGTTTCGTCGTGTGTATAGAAAATGTACAGTGATTGTAAAGTAAAACCCAGGGTCAACCCTGCGGTTACCCACATAAGCTTAAAGCCTTTCTTCACAGTATAGAGGCCCATGAAACAGGATTTTTGACTTATCCAGATAACTTCAAAGCTGATCCTGAAGTTATCCAATTTTTGAATAGCGTGACTTTGAAAAATAGACGCTGTTTATTATCTAAACTTGCATGAGTTGAAAACTGAGTCCAGTCGACACAATTTAAATTCCATGACTTACATTAATGAACAACAGACCACACTGTAGTGATGGGATTTCCATCTCTTTTTAGAGAACCTGCTCTTTTGGCTCGGCTCACTAAAAAGAGCCGGCTCTTTCGGCTCCGAACCGGCTCTTCAGGTTGTTTTGTTGCTTTAATTAATTAATTATTAACAATAATATAAAATTATGCACAAAAGGAATTACTAATGTAAAAAAAAGAAGTTGTTTTATTTATATATGTTTATATATAAATATAAACCGCATATATTTATATATAAACACATATAAATATATGCGGTGGCCCCTA